TTTTTTGAGGCTGATAACTCGCCATCATGACAGCGGTATTATCAATTATTTGCTCAGTATAGCAAATAAAGGTGAAGTACTTGCCCAATGACACTGGTATTTTGTGGCAAAGATTGAACCTTTCACTTTGCATAGTGACCTTTTTTCTCTCATTCAGTCTGAATTTAAATGATGGTAGATTTTTGCAACTTGGTCAATTACATAGTATAATATGACAATTAAAATACCATGTCTGAAATACATTTTTTATGATAGATAGAAGGTTTGGCATATGTTAATGGATGATACCAGACATCGTTAAGCTTGTACTGGTGTCAGCGGTTAACAGGAGTCCAATTGTAAAGGGATAATCATAGTAATGTAGTCAGCCATCATTCATGCTCGAATGCTTCCAAAGATAGAACCAGCAATGGCAATAAATTAACCCATAATAAATGTCTTGTCTGTTTCTATAGTAATTCAACGGCCATCTTGAATCCGCCGTCCAGATGCCACAGCCAATCAGTTTCCTTACAAAACAGTTCTGCACTCAAGAGAGGCCCTGCGCCCTTATTTAGTCAGACGGCTGCCGAGGGTTTGTCGTAGATTTATGTGAGATCATAGTAGAAGAGAGTGACCGAAAAAGATTTGTGTACAGCAAGTACCATGGGGATTTACGGCTTTCTATATTCTGCAGCACCTGCTGGTTGAGGCACATGCCAAGATGTGTAGGCCCCTTAGCCCAACTTCAAAAAGGATCCCTTAATGGTCTGCCTGACTTTTCTGTGAGAACTCTACAGTCTGTTCAGTTTCCTATATATATTTTTTTGTCCTTTTTGTGGTAAGAGTTGGTGCATTTTGGAGTGAGAGTTTGAACTTGATTCAAAATGTTCTATTTTAATGATTTATGGCTTTGTGAAAAAATACTTTTAAAAGCTGCATTGGAAATACTGATATTTCACTATTTCAAATATCAGTATATTTCTATATGCGTTGACAGGTAGGGGAAGTTTGTTTCACTAAAAAATGAAATTTTGGGAGTCTCTTTTTTCAAGGTGGTAACCATACATTTTGAAGAAAAGATGGGCCACAAAATTTCTCAGCTTGACTTTAGCTCGTAACTCACGTTACAAACCTCGAATAACAGTGCCAGGAGCGATATCTGGTATAATTGTGACGTTCTTTCAGCAAACTACCAAACCACTTATGAAATTAGTGTTTAGTTGGTTGTGGAGAATTGTATCTCTGTATGCACACAGTCCTTTGTGATCTGGAGTCTGGGGCCCGGGATGATTTATAGAGGACACGGTATCCGCAGCCCCATACATTTTTCATCACTTATGACAGGGATTTATGAGAGCGCGCTAATGTATGACGGCAGATTATATGTATATTATTTTCAGAAAATAGGCGAGGGTGAAACATGGCGTGCCAGGGCACTTGTTTTGCTGAAGGGGAGAGATGAAGATGGGAAAAAAAAAAAAAACGAAACTTGTTTAGGATGCTTTTTTTTTTTTTTCACATATTTGGCTGTCATTTATCTCTGCCCACTCTTAACACTTGAAATTGAAAAAAAAAACAAAAAAAAAAAAAAAAAAACAGAAAATATTTCAGGTGATGGTTAAAAAGTGGCATCTTTTTAAAGTGTATAGCAAGTGAAAAACTCCATTTCTGAAGAGAATTTTACATCACACATTTGGTATACTATTCAGTCATCTGGTGGCATCTCTTAAACTGTTCCTTTTAAAGATGTACATAAAGAAAAACATCTGATTACTGTCCATACTTCTCCATATTAATGGTATCACACAGTGGCGGGGGCCGAGGTGGGTGTAGGTTTCAGCGGTTGGAGGTATTATCTCAATGCAGTCTATGGTCAACATCTACCTACATCCTGATTTGTGGCGTACCACAAGCGTTGGTGCCGCTGTTAAGTTAGGAACAGGATATCGCGGAGGAAGGGCCCCGTTAACAGTCAGTCTCACCTGACTGATTTATTGTACATGCAGCTTTTTTTATATATAAATGAGTTTTGTTCTAAATACTTGGCAGTAGGGTTTGTCAGTGGTTTATTTATAGTGATTTGAATTTTATACAGTATATATATTTTTTACAGGACAAACTTGTGATTATTTTTATGAAAAGTGCATTTAAAAAGTTATCGTGGGACATCTGAGATGTGTTCGCTCCCCTTGGAGCTGTGTGTCACACAGCAGAACTTTGATCTCAGATTCTGTTTGGAGATGCTCTTCTTGCCTCTACACATACATTTGGTTGCCTTCACTTATCCTTTCATTGATAAAGAATGGGTTATCAGTTAGATATTATTAAGCTAGATTTCTTGAGATACAAGTATGACTGTATCCATTTTAATTATTCAGTTGATAGCTGGTGTATGGTTTTGATTCTGTACATAGAATTCTTTTTCCAAAATGCTTTTTTTTTTTTATTTTATCAAATAAATGATGAAGTCATATTATTTGGAAAATCAACATTTTGACTTGTTTGATATCTTTAAACTGGGAAAAACCAAGTAGTAACTGCAAGGTGTCAGCGGCAAATGCCCAGATGATAAATTCAAAATTAATTGAAAACCAGTATGATGCATATACATCTACATTTATACATTAACCATCATATTTTGCATTTCCTGCCACTGAAAAAAAGGCAGTTTATCATCATCATGGTGTTGTGGCTGGTGTCACTGTGGAGTGTCTTGGTGCTGCTGACCACTCTATTCATTACGACTGAACACAGGAAAATCAAGATGATCCCTTTCAGTAGTTTGATGGATGGTCAGGGAAACACCAATGTTGGGATTATGTGTGTGGCGTAATGTGTGCTGCCTTTCTGAAATATTCAACATTTGAAGGAAGATTGTGTATCACCTGTTCTAAGATGACCTCTCTCTCTCTCTCTCTCTCCTCTCTCTCTCTCTCTCATTGAACACACACACATGCCTGATCGAAAATGAATATAAGTTTTAAGATAAAAATATAGATAAAATTGAATCAGAATAAAAGATGATACTTGGCTTGGCAGTTAAAAAAAATGTCAGATTCTGTTAAAAAGAAAAAAAAATACTGTAACTGTGCCTCTGTGGTACTGTACCTGATTCAGTAACTGCCTTTTGGATACTGCTTTCTGAAAGCAACAATAATGATAGAGTAATTAGTTAAAAAATACACAAATTTGTTGATGGAAATTTGATGTTATTTGAACCAGACCATCTTCTCACAGGAATCGTTATTCTGATAAAAATGTTCTTTTTATAATAATCAGAAATAACAGATAGATAAATAATTAATATCGTTTTTATGTGTGTCGATCTAAATCAAACAATAAAAGAGATCTGAATGTGTTATTTGATGTGAGAAATCTCAGTTACAAAGTATAGGAAACTTGAGATGTTCTGTTCAAAGTGAGCTCCGTCTTATGCTGGCTCACCTGTATGCTACGTGTCTTGCCTGGTAAGTGTCATATATATGTATATAATCAAGATTTACCTCGCATTCCTCGAATAACGCACCTGTCTCAGCTAGCTAATATGACTGAAGTTAGAGGGTATATATGCTAACAGTAAAAAAAAAATCAAAGAGAATTTTGGATGCCTGGTTCATGTTCTTGAATAACCATGGGGTTCATTCATCTCTGTAAAGTGTTTTTTTTTTTCATTGATTTTTTTCTTACATTACCTTATATATAAGAATTTTTATTGGATATTACAAAAAAAGTTTCTTTGTAAAAATCACAGTTAAATAAAAAAAAGACGCACTGTTGCTAGTCTTAAACCAGAAAAACAGATTCTTTAAAGATGCACATGATTCAAAGTTTCATTGCCTTTATATGAGCTTGACTTTATATGAGAAGGACTGTTTAGATAAAATAGGGGCCTTTTGTGCAGAAAGCGTACAGTTAATGCAAATTTCAGAGTGTTGCATGGTTTGAACACTGCTGTCACGTAATGTCTGGCACTTTTTATTAACAATTCAAAAGCAATTTATGGAAAATCAGTCAAAAGAGAGCAGCTATATATATATGTATATATATATTTTTTATGTTTGACAAAGAATATAACACATATGTCTGCTTGATTCTGGAAGTACTTTTACTCGGGGATGAATAGTATAGTTGCCAAACAGCCAGAAATGAAGGCAGAAAGTGACCTGGTTTGTCTGGTATGTACATTAGGACAGAGATCAAAGCTGGCTATATTTGTGATGGCACCCTGATTGCAGAACAGGAACAAGTATGGATAAAACAGACAAGGAGAATTCTTCTATATAACTGAGAGAGAGAGAGAGAGAGAGAGAGAGGGCAGGGGGTGACCCTCTACTTGATGATGTGGATATATTTCATAAATTATTTTCATGGAAATGGCATAAAGAGAAAACTAGATCCAAGTTGAGAAGGACAAAGAAGAAAAAAGTCAAGAAAAAAGGGTACTTTTTAAAGGGTGTTTGATTTACCATTTGCCAGATATTATGTCTGTACATTCAGATATATCACCTGTTTGTAACCTTAGCTTCCTTACTTTAGAACTCTATGTGGAGGCCAAGTGGGGTCAGTCAAGGTCAGTCTGGGTCAGTCAAGGTCATTGTGGGTCAGGGTCACCAGTGGCAATAAGGAAAACATTTTGTTTTAAGGAAATGATGATTTTTATGTGTTGTAGTTTGGGGCAGGGTAGCCAACATAAAAACTTTCACAGCATAAAAAAAAATATGTTTACATCTTATGTTTATGTTGTTAACAAAAAAAAAATAGTTGTCAAGAAAACAAAGAAAATCAGAATGCATAATCTGATAAAATTGGGTTTTCTCTGAAATGGCCTTGGGCCTTCCAAAAGATGCAAATTTTTTCCTACAATTTGCTGCCTCAGTTGTAAATGATGAATAGGCCCGTTTCCAATTTCCTAGCAGCTAGGGTTTGTCACTGTACAAATATTTTTTAACTGTAGGAGGATATTTCTTAGCTTACCTGCCATTCTATAAATAGTCTCGTAAAGAAAAGTGGAAAGTTTGAGTCACCTTGGGTAATTTGTGGTAGATGTGAGAGTTAAACTTGAAATAGGATATGAAAGAGGATTTTTGTGATGCATGACTGAATTATGTTGAGGAAAGTTGTAATGATATATGAAGATGATGTTTTTTTGAAGTGTATACCTTTTATTTAAGAAGATAGAAAGGGTAGATTTTCAGCTACAGGAGATAGAAGGTAATGTTATGTAGGTGGCATTTACTTTCAACTGAAGGGGATGATACTATCTGAAATACTTGTCCTTGGTCTTGAAAATGGAAAAAAATGATACACAGCACATTGAGTGACATTTATTTTTATAATTCTGAGAAGAATTATATCTAATTTCGGCACACTTCTCAAAAAAAAAAAAAATAATAAAAAATAAAAAAAAAGGAATGTTTGTATGTTGCTTTTTTAAAAATATTGCCTTAAAATGTGCAAGGAAAATCTAAAAGTTCGCTTCAGTCTGATGGCAGCAGTCAGTTGACACTTCAATCTGTATGACATTGCCTGTGACATAGGTGCCATTTTATGTGCATCATCATCATTTCTCATCTTAACACCTTGGATCACTCCCTCACATTTAACGCAAGCAGAGAAAGTGGTTTGGTCTCTTCACATCACTGCGAAGTATGAATTAAACAGGTGCGGAGGATTATTTATGGGGAGAATATTTAGATATCATTTCCTTTACAGTTACATTGCAGTTGGTGTCACTGCCACATGGGGTCAGGGTATAGATACGCATGTTTTGCTTCGAACAAATAGCTAATTTCTCACCTAATTTAAATAAAAACAGGAAAATTTGATTCAGAACTGATTTTTTAAAGTCCTTTATTCTTATGCCAAGTGAGGTATGTTTGCATGATAGCTTTTAGAGAAACATTTCTGGATTTGTGCTGAGTAGATAAAAATGTGTATATGCTCTACAATATTCTGGTCATTGTTGATGAAGTTTGTGAAAAAGTTGTGAAATATGCTGTTTATCTCCCTTAATTAAAGTTTGTAAAAAATAGTGAAGTTGTTGTATATCTTCTTTTGTTAAACTGAAAGCATTTTGCTAAAATTTTACATATTATTATTATTATTATGCTACCAGGAGCCCAAACAACCTTGAGTTGTGCTATCTTCATCCTCTTTAAATTTTTTTTTAAATGTAATAATCATTCATTTTGTTATGAGAGTTGGTGCTCTTATCTGACTATATGGGAGTGCATAATCATTAATGACTTGCATCCATAAAGTACTATGGAAAATGACACCATTTTGGTACTAGTACATAACTGTAATTCTATTGAATATTTATGGTTATGATTAGTTTCTAAAAATATGTAGTGTTTTTTAAAATATATATTTAATGCTTTCCTGTCTATAGGCAAGCATATCTAATATCTAATATAATTATCTAAAAGTTCAGAGAATACAGAGCCCCTATATATATGTGCATTCATATTAATGCACAATTTAATAATTGAAATGCATGTATCAGGAGAATTAGGTTGAGTAGAATTTCCATTGTGCTGCTTGGCATGTTGAAGTCGGACATTGGCAGCCATATTTTCCCTGTGGCGAACTATTCCTTTTTGGTAATCTGCATGTGAAAGGGGCCACGGTGCGAGTGCAGCTCGCGCACCATTTACAACTAAGTTATGGCACACCATTATGGCTTCCCAAAGGATTAGGAGAAAAAAAAACGACTGTGGACATTTATCAATTTTATTGAGCTATGGTAATGGAGATCTAGATGTAAAACCCTTCGGGATTGGACGGTTTGTCCATCATTTCTCAATGGCTACCATCAAGCATGAAGAGGCAGTGTGAGGGTGGAGGAGTAACCTGGTGCTGTGCTGGGCTAACGTGGCACTTTGAGTTGAGAGGAGGAGAGGTGCAGCGACACCAGAGTCCCTCTGGCAGATGCTCAGTTGTTGCTTCTGTCCACATTGTGGAGGGCGTAGGGCTTTTTTTACGCTCCCCAAGGGCTCACTCTGTTGACAAAACGTGCCTGATTTTTAGGACTAATTTTGCTTTAGAAGAAGACAGTGAAGTGCAGTTACTAATGCACTAAAGTGTGAGCAGAAAGGACCAGGAGAAAGAGCAATTGCTCCTGTACACACCCTACCACGTCCACAGGGAAGGAAGTGACCCCATGTGGCAGGCCCTGGTCTCAGCCGGTCCAGCCATGGTTTGGAGCCACACCCTACAGTGTGAACCAGGCCACTGCATTCAAATAGCAACAAGAGCCGCCGCCGCCGCCGCCTCCTTGCTATGGCTGACTGCTCTCTCAGGTCACCTTACCAAAAATAATCATGCACGCCCCCAGCATCCTGAAAAAGAGACACCTAGTAGCACAAAGACATTGGGGCCACGCTGACAAAGCCATAAGTATGAATGATAATTGTAATTTGTAACCCGGTTCTGGCCTGTTTCACTGGCGCACAATAAGGTACACCTCTCAGGGCTGTTTTTCATCATCATCATCAGGTTCATCACCATTATTATTATCCGGTATGTATGTATTTTAGAACACCCACCCAAAAAGTGATCATAATCGGAATGCAGGGTTGAGTCATCCTTTATAAGTGTGTTGTGTGGAGTGTGTATATGCTGTAGCTACTAGTGCTCTAGTGCTGCCCTAGCTGGCGGCCCAGCCTACTTAAACTAACTGCTCTGTGTGCTTAAGCTTAGTAGTCGCCTTGTACACCTTGAGAGAGAGTGTGTCTCTGTATGTATGTGTGAAGTACTCGATGGATTGACCTACTGGCATGGGACGTCTCTGGTCGTCGCCACGGTAGCAATACCTGGTCCTTGGTCCTGCTCACGTGGAGACGGCATGAAAGACAGGAATCTGGGTAGAAAGTGACCCAATGGCAGCAGTCAGTCCTTAACACAGGGAGTTGCCAGGCTGGCTGTTAGCTGTGTTGTTAAGGGATTTTTTTAAGGAGGGATTAACACACTATGACTAGAACCGTGAGTGTTAGCTACAGCTGGATGATGAGGTTGAAAAAATGGATAACTGCTTTTATTTTAGAAAGGAAAAGGGTTTTTTTAAAAGTCAACATGGTACTATTTAAGAGCTGAAGTACCACAGTGGATTTGAGTCAAGGGAACCGTTGATTTAACAAGACTGCACAAAGTGGACAAGTTTTTTAAATTCTCTATTATTTTAAGGTAATGTAAGACTTTTGCCTTATCCTCCCCCAAGGTAAGAAGATGTTAAATTCAGGTTAGCATTGTTAAGCTTTTTAAGCAGGTTCACAAGTAGAGAATTTTTTGGTAAGGCTAGTATGGTGTGACCTGACCTGAATCAGTTAGCCAGCTAGAGCAGGGGAGACTAGGGACTAAAGACTGTCTTTGTTTTCTGTAGCTAGAGGGGCTGAATTAAGTTGGAGAAAAAACTAACTGTGGTGGATAAAATAATATGGTCTTGAATTTAGGCAGATTATGTGTCGAGATTGAACTAGAAGGTATAGGCAAGTAGTGCTCTGTGAATCCTTTTTTAAAATTATTTTAGTGTCTGCTGTCTTGTTTTACCTAATGTGAGTTAACAAGATATATGCCATATGAAGCTGCTTGTTTTTTATATCTTTGATGCAGTTTAAAGTGTATAGTTAAATAATCTTCAAGAAAAAAAAGCCTCCATATTCTATGGTGAGGTAGTAGGGAATTTTGAGGTATAAAGTTTCTTTTTCCTTGACAGTGTGCTAATTCATAATATTGATACAGGATATCTGAGAAGAGTTATTATTCAGTGGAATTGTCTGTTGGACATATCGGGTGGGTAATAGAGATGCCCTTTCTTTGCTCTCTAGTCCAGGATCTTTTTTAATGGCAAACCTTTCTAACCTTCTCACTTTTTTGTTAGTGTTCTTACAGATCTGCTAACTGCTAGTAAGAGCTAAACCCATTTCTTCTGCACTCTTGTATTTTCTTTTAATTGTAGAAAAAGTATATAGGTTTTTTTGTGAATATTTGTGCTTAGGAAAAAAATATATAGCAAATAAACTCAAAGTTATGGTCATTGTGATAATTTTTTGCCAGGAGGAATGATGGATAGAAAATATTTCAGGCAATTGATAAAAAATCCATCTTAGTAGGATGAAATATGAACCATAAGCTCAAGTACTCGGGGTTGTAGTTTTTAGGTTCTTGATATGAAATTATGTCTGGTAGTTTAAGAGTGAAAAAAAAAATGAACTTTTGGTTCAGGTGCTCTGAGGGCAAGCTACACTTCCACTAATGACTTAGGCCTTTATGATGGATTGCCTGACAGGCAGTGGATATAGCCGCGCCATGTGTTTTATGAAATGAAAAATATTGGCGCATTGGTTGTAACATAAAATCTATAGGGAGTAGGTGAAGACTTATGGCTCTTATTACAGTTGTGATTTTTTAGCTGAAAATTAATTCGTCATGTAAAAGTTAGTAGAGAAGGTGAGTCAGAGCTCTCATAATTTCCCCTCCCCCCTCTCATATAAAAAAGGGAAAAAAGATGGAGGCAGGTATGTGCTTCAGCATTTTAACTAGGAGATAAAGAGAATTGTCAGATGTATTCTTGGAGAAGGAAGTTGCCTGTTTGTTTTCAACTTTTATTTTTTCTTTTATGAAGATTGTGAAAAATTGTTTGGCCTATATTGAAACAATCCATTTTAGTCAAATATTAAGTCTGTCAGGAGGAGATAAATCTTCCATAAATTGTGCCTTTAGCTCAGCAGATCCTTTCACTTCAAATATGTGTATAAATCTCTCTCAAGTGCTGCTTCCATCTTTGCCATGGACTCCCCGAGTCATTATTTTCATCTGATGCTCGCTGGCAGAAGATCAGGGTGAAGTCTGCGTTCTCATGGGCCAGGTTACCTGAGATAAGCACTGTAGCAAAATGGTGGATCAGTTTACAAAGATGGCCACAGCTTGGCCCTAGGACTTCATTGCGTTGTTCATGGCCACAGAAAAGTTAATTCCTGAATTGTGTCAGCAGGGTCAGCTTGCCAAATAGCCCCAAGGGGTTACTGGGACCTCCGGCTTGATGCTCTGTGTGTTTAAGTAATCATAGTTGTTTTTAGACAACACCATTTTCTTGTTGTTGTTGTTGTCATCTAATTGGGAAGGTTAGCTCTTAGGTTTAAATTAGAAACTGTTGGATGATTTGTCTGCAGTATATTGTCAGTGAAACTATTTCTGCTCCTTTCGTTGAGGCC